CGGCTACTCACGTGCTGTGGGCATGGCGATGACCGTCTCCGTGGTGGCGTGGTAGTCGTCCTCCTCCAGGGAGCCCTCGCTGCCGCCGTCGCGCTGCACGTCGTCCTGGTCAATGAGCTCCCGCAGCGGCGGGGCTCTGGGCAGGAGCTGCCGGATGGCTTCCTTGCTGATGTTGGGCGCTGTTTCCAGGCGCAGTTTGCTGAGGATCTGGATCTTTATGGCTTCTATTCGGGACGACTTTGTGTTCTGCCTCCAGGTGCACGCGTTGCACGGCCCCTCTTTCTCCACATCGCCTTTCTGCTCGCCGTTCTCACTCAGGTCCACGGGGCCGGCGACGATCAGCATGAACAGGTAAATGGACACATAGACTTGCAGCTTTTGCATGATGTAGAAACTGTGCGGGCTTTTCCTGCTCCTTTTCCTCCTTTGCTTTTGAGTAATGCCAAGCAACGGGGAATGCCTGGACAGTCGGAGACACCAGTGGCCACCCAGGGAATCTTGCACGCTGTCTTCCAAGTGGCTTTTTATATTCCGACTCGGATGAGACCAGTGTCGTCAGGACCTGTGATTGGCTCCTGCTCCACAATGAATCTCGCTGTCAGAGGTTAAACCCTGTCTGTCACAAGTCACCAAGCAGTGTTCTGTTACAGGCCAGGGCGGGCCGGTGCATCTGCATGCTTCATAAAAGAAAGAAATCTACAGATCAGCGGAGGGAGAGGTAACAGTTGAGAAATGAAAGTATGTAAACAATAACATCAACTGCACTTCAGTCTGATTCATCTGTACACGTGGGACTCTTCAGTTATAATTGAAACAAGTAAGTCTCAGTTTACACTTCATATTTTACAAGCTGAAATGTTACTTCCTCAAGAATTAAAAATTATTGTATGCTATTTAAGCAAGCATTTGAAGTAAAAAAAAAATTATTTGTTGTATTACATTAGTTTCAGTCCTGTGGAATTAGGAGAATGTAAATTTAAATTAGGAAGACCTGGAAGAAAAGTCACGGTTGTCATACTAATAAAAGGTTTTCAGCTCTAATTTGAGAAACTTTTTTCCTGACTACGTTTTTAGCACATGTTGAAAATCATACTTATCATAATGTTATAGTGCACATGGAATTATTTTTAAATAATTTAATATATTTTATTCATATAAAAATTGTGCTCATTTTTTATTATTATTTACTATTGTTATTTCCTATTCTAAAATTACAGACGAATATCTCTCAGAAGATGTACTGCTTCATAGTTTATTACCAAGAACATATTGTGAGCCAGTAGAAAATTCCTGAACTTAGAATAAAAAAGTAGTGGACTTTCTGACCAGCAACATAGCACCTACTACATCCGCCTCAGATGCCAGTGGTAAAAGCAAGACATGTGGTCTCTGTCCCCCAGAAATTATGTCAGGATATTGTGAGTGCTCAAGGGAAACGCTCCACCGTCAGAGGGCACCCGTTCCCCCCAGTACTGTGATGGGTTTGCACCCCTTTGCCATTTCTCATTTTGACCAGAGGGCAGACACCTGGCAGGGCTTGTGGGGGGACGAGGCGGGGGAGGTCGGGGAGCAGAGGTGGGGCTCTGTGCTGTACACCTGAGCGGCCCCTGCAGGGCTCACACTCACCCCCTGAGCTTCGGGGCCAGGAGCCCAGCAGCCCCGCCAGCAAGAAGCAGGGCTGCCCCCTCCCCCTTCACCCCAGCTCCTCTGGGGGAAGCTCAGGGCTCCTAAGAGAGCTAATCCGTTACTTTTTTTCCCCCAAGAGAGTGCCGTGGTTCCTGTCAAATATTTATTAATTTTAGGTCGCTACCACCTTTGCACATTGTCCACTAACTTACTGCCTCAGTGCACTAAAATGCAACTCAGTAGCCTGAAAAGTTAATGCATTTTCATCAAATTCTTAAGAGGCATCTACATCTCTTGAGAAAAAAAATGGCCTTACATAATGCATTAGATCTGCCCATCGTTAAAGATTAAGGAAAACCAGACACAAGCCAGATGCCCAGAGGATTTCAGATCCTCCTTGTTGTAGGCCAATGTGAGACCAGGCTTACAAGGCTTTGTTTGGTAAATTTATTTTTGAACGTATGAATCTTTGTAATATTATCTTAAGTATAACTTGAGTAGTCGAACCTTTTTAAAAAAAATTAGAATTGCGGAGCTGGGCTCTGGAGCCACACCGCCCTGAGTTCAAGTCTCACCTGCCACTGCTAACTACACGATAATGGATGTGCCAGCGCCGTCGGTGCCCCCGCGCAGTTTTGGGGAGTGTAACTTAATAATGCATGTAAATTGCTGAATACAGCGCCTGTCATATCGCAAGTGATTGATAACAGGACGGAGTGCCTGGTTTTTGTTTCACGCAGAGGGGTTTGGGCTGTGCTTAAATTTATCCTCCGCAGGAACCAGAACCGCCGCAGGGGTAGCTGCCAACGGCTGTCGCGCACGGCCACCCCGCGGGCCGCGAGGCAAACAAGATGTTCCCGGCGGCCCTCGGCGGGCGGCGGGAGCTGCAGTCCTGCTCTGGCTTCTCGGATAAATAAGCAGAGGCTGTGGCTTCCCCAGATGGCCAGCCTCGCCTACTCATGGATTCCATAGTGGCCAGTGTGCCGCTTGCTAAGACTGATTTATCTTTAACCCCCACGTCGATATTCAGGGGCTTCCGTGGTCAGGCAGAGTGGCGAGCATGCTGAGGCTCCGACACGGGTCCCAGGGGGTCACCAGGCCTGGCCGCGGCTCCCCTGCTGGACACAGTGCTCTTCGCAGCCCGCTTCGTGCCATCTCCCTCACGTCGGTGTGTCCTTTTCAGGGGCGATTCTGCTGCAATAAATGGCCCCCAAGACCCAGCTGAAGGGCGTGCT